GTTCCTTTGCTCAACTCCAAAGAACTCTTTATGCCACAAAGTTCTATATAAAAACAAAGAAGCTTATCTGTACAAAAGAGTTCTCAATATTTTACATGAATTAGTTATAAAATATCTATTGATATTAATTTTTCATATTTATTAAATATTATTTAAATGAAACAATATACTCACACACCACACACACACACACACACACTATATGTATGTGTGTGTGTGTGTGTGTGTGTGTGTGTATGTATGTATTTGTATGTGTGTGATCCAGACGTGTTCCGATCCATATGTCAAACCCAAACCCCCTTTCAAGCTGATCTGATCCAAACGCAGTGCATCGGACTGGGGTCGGACGGAACCGAGTGGAGGAATGCCTACCGGTAAGAACCCGAGCCCGAGCCCGAGACGGTCACAGCCTCAACCCTCTGTCATTAACTTAAGACGGTTTATGGTGCAAATGTTGTGCAGCAGTGTGTATGTGAGAATGAGTCAAGTGTCATTAGCCTACTGGGGTTCTGCTGATCTCAGCTCTTCCCTGCTGCTTCTGCATTAACAGAAAAGCACAAAAAGTACTATGGTATTACATTGTTTTGGTATTCCTTCAAGTACCCTAAATAACTAGGTACATGAATACGCTAATCATCCAGTAGTATCATGGTATTCCCAGAGTTCCCATGGTCATTGACAATGCAGTCTTTTTTACCCATGATCCCATGCAGGGCAATGAGTCAAGTCAGACTCTGTTGAGGTGTTGGCACTGATGCCATAGACCTTGACAGCAGGTGGCACTGGCATGTGATTTAGTGTCAGCATAAAATTCTACTCAGCAGGGTCCAAGATGGACAACTTATGTAATGTATTTGGATGTTCCTGAAGAGCTTATGAAAGTCTTCTGTGGCCAAGAGACACTGTTGTGCTTCATTCTCCAGTGTTATTTTAGTATTACTGAGATTCTGTTGTAGTTTTTATTAATATTTTGAATTAGTTTTTGTCACATTTTCTGTTTTTATTTCAGTTTTTATTTAATTTTCAGTTATTTTAATATATCAAGTTAAACTAAATTGAATAAAAATTTAATAAAAAAAAGTTTCCTTGGCAAATAGCTGAAATAAGTGTGTGTGTGTGTGTGTGTGTGTGTGCACACTGGTTTGGGTGGTTTATGAGGACACAAATTTGTATAGGCTAATGACATGGGTATGACACAGGTATTACAATATGAAGGTGGTTTATGAGGACACTACTTGTGTCCCCGTAATTCAAAAGGCTTAAAAAACATATTAATGGTGTTTTTTTTGAAAATCTAAAAATGCACAAAGTTTTCTGTGAGGGGTAGGTTTAGGTGTAGGGTTGGTGTAGGGCGATAGAAATGACAGTTTGTACAGTATAAAAACCATTACACTGATGGAGAGTCCCCATAAACCACCAATACCAACGTGTGTGTGTGTGTATATGTGTATGTGTATGTATATTTTATATATATATATATATATATATATATATCACCTTTATTTAACCCTCTAACTCTAGCACTTTCTATTCTATTTTAATTCTACTTTATCTATATTTATCTTCTTTTTTTATAAAAAAAAACCCAAAAACAAAACAAAAAAACAAACAAACACTAGCTTTCTATTTTTTCTATTTTATCTACTTGTTTTTCTTTGTGTGTGTGTGTAAATGTGTGTGTAATATATATATATATATATACGTAAGTCACTTTGGATAAAAGTGTCTGCTAAATGACTAAATGTAAATGTAAATATATACAGTATATATATATATTTATACGGTGGCCGAGAGAGCTCAACGCACTGCAAATGAAAAAACACATGCAAATAAAAATAAAAAAAACACCTGCAAATTAAGAAAACATCTTCATCAACACACGCGCTGTAAAGACTCACACCACAACCAAATACAGAAACGCACTGCAAAGACTCACAACACAACCAAATACAGAAACGCTCTGCAAATTCTCACAACACAACCAAATACAGAAACGCACTGCAAAGACTCACAACACAACCAAATACAGAAACGCGCTGCCAATTCTCACAACACAACCAAATACAGAAACGCACTGCAAAGACTCACACCACAACCAGATACAGAAATGCACTGCAAAGACTCGCAACACACCAAAATACAGAAACTCGCTGCAAAGACTCACAACACAACCAAATACAGAAACGTGCTGCAAAGACTCACAACACAACCAAATACAAAAACGTGCTGCAAATACAGAAACGCACTGCAAAGACTCACACCACAACCAGATACAGAAATGCACTGCAAAGACTCGCAACACAACCAAATACAGAAACTCGCTGCAAAGACTCACAACACAACCAAATACAGAAACGTGCTGCAAATACAGAAATGAACTGCAAAGACTCACAACACAACCAAATACAAAAATGCGCTGCAAATACAGAAATGCACTGCAAAGACTCACAACACAACCAAATAAAGAAACGCGCTGCAAAGACTCACAACACAACCAAATACAGAAACGCGCTGCAAAGACTCACAAGCAAATACAGAAACGCACTGCAAAGACTCACAAGCAAATACAGAAACGCGCTGCAAAGACTCACAACCAAATACAGAAACGCACTGCAAAGACTCACAACACAACCAAATACAGAAATGCACGGCAAAGACTCACAACACAACCAAATACAGAAACGTGCTGCAAATATAGAAACGAACTGCAAAGACTCACAATACAACCAAATACAGAAACGCGCTGCAAATACAGAAACGCACTGCAAAGACTCACAACACAACCAAATACAGAAACACGCTGCAAAGACTCACAACCAATTACAGAAACGCACTGCAAAGACTCACAACACAACCAAATACAGAAACACGCTGCAAAGACTCACAACCAATTACAGAAACGCACTGCAAAGACTCACAACACAACCAAATACAGAAACGCAGTGCAAAGACTCACAACACAACCAAATACAGAAATGTATATAATTTAACTTTTCTTTTATTTCAAGTTAAAAAAAAAACAAGATTTTAGTTTCATTTATGTGAGGCCTATCTATACATACACACTTGACACATTTATGTGTCATTTATTTATTTATATGTTATTATGGTTGGTGTTGTTTATCAGCTTTTTAGGCTGATAATTTGTTGGATATTGTTTTGTTAGTTTTGTTTGTTAGTTTGTTAGTCTGGTTTGGTATTGTTTACTTTAAAATGGTTTTGGTGGTTTAGTTTAGCATGTTTTTTGGCATTGTTAAATTTAAATATTATTTTTCCTGGTGTTTTGGTGTTGTTTACAGTATTGCTATGTTTGATGTTTGTGACATTGTTTAGTTTCGCATGTAATATAGTTTTGTGTGGCATTTAGTTTGCCATTTGTGATATAGTTTAGTGTTGCATTATTTTGTCAGATTGCGTAATGTGTAGTTTGACGCAGTAGACCAGACACCCCTGAGGGTTATTGCTGCTGACGCTCTGCACTCAAAAGAGAAGTACAACAAACACACACACACTGAGAGTAGGGTGACCTCTCCACTGAAGTACAAACACAACTCCCACACCCCTCAGAGGGAGTATGATAACCTCTCTGCTCTGACACACACACAGTCTATTTCTGGGCAGTCAGCACCCTGTAAGACGAGCCCTTTATACTTGAAGAAAATGGAGAGAAAAATTGATTCTGTTAATGTTATGTGGCTGCATTCACACTACAGTCCTATTTCCTTGACACAAAATATGACTTTTTTTCCCCTGTGTATTTACATTTACTTAAGACGTCACTGACTGCAACTAGCGATCAAACATTGTTTAGTAGTACTTTTACTATTACATTATATTGCATGTGCTTGACTCTAAAATGTCTTAAAGAGGTTTACAAAACATTGCAAAATCTGATATAGATGTCCGTTATGTTGTGACATAAGATAAATAACTGGTTGTTTTGTTGATTGCCCTGATAACTCACATGTAGGTTTAAGTATGCATTAGCAAACCTTACTTGAACGGCAAGTGATTTACATCTGAAAAGGCCTGTCTGCCATGTTGGCTAATGATAAGGGATAGTCAGAGTTCGGGTCAGTTCAAGGTTCATAGTGTGATTCTCTTATAGCATACATTGTTTGTGCTCCGGATTTACATTTTATGAATCTTGTTCAAGCACAAACAATCAAGTTTTTGAATTTGGAGCACATTAATAAAAATAAAAAAATTAAAAATAAACTTTTGTCAACTACATAGCTGTCCTCTCAAATAAAGGACAATTATTATTATTTAAGTTTGCACACCTTTACCAGTTTCTGTTGGCAGCAAAGCATTGGCAAAACCTCTGTTTGGATTATTGCCAAATTTTATAAATCTTACTCAGGTCCAAATAATCAAGTTTTTGGAATCCGAAGCACATTAATAAAAAAAAATAAAAAAAACTTTTGTCAACTACTGTCACGGTCGGTGGTAGTGTGAGGAGCGCGGAACGAGGAGACCAGGAGTACTAAACAAAGGGATTTATTCTTGTCACAGGGAATCACACGTAGCACGAGGAGAAGACATCAACATACAATTCCAGACCAGGGAGAACTGAACGGGCTAGAACTAAATAGGGTAGATAACGAGGGGCAGACAGGTGATGGGGATAACTAATAACAAGGAACAGGTGATACTAATAATGTGAAAAGGAACTGGAAGGACCAAATAAGGAAAACAGGAACTCAACGGGAACATACACGTGACAGATCGCCCCCCTCCCGGACGGCGCGTCCTGCGCTGTAACAGTACCATCGGGGAGGGGGGTCGGGCGCCCTGGAGGCTGGTGCAGGATCAGGAAGCCATGGCAGAGCAGGCAGTTCGGGTTGCCATGGCGGAGCCGGGGACTCGGGAGGCCATGGCGGAGCCGGGGACTCGGTAGGCCATGGCGGAGCCGGGGACTCGGGAAGCCATGGCGGAGCCGGGGACTAGGGAGGCCATGGCGGAGCCGGGGAATCGGGAACCCTCCGTGGGCTTAACGGGGAATCGGGAACCCTCCGTGGGCTATACTCGGGATCCGGAGCCCTCCCTGGGCTTAACGGGGAAACAGGAGCCCTCCCTGGGCTTAACGGGAAATCTCGGGAACAGGAGCCCTTCCTGGGCTGAACTGGGGATCCGGAGCCCTCCGTGGGCTATACTCGGGAACAGGAGCCCTTCCTGGGTTGAACTGGGGATCAGGGTAGCGCTGACGTGCTGCTGGCACTGGAGGGTGCTCTGGAGGAGGAGGCACAGCAAAGCGCTTTTGAGGAGCCGGCACCGGGGGGCGCTCTGGAAGGCACTTACGAGCCGACACTGGGTCCACATGACACGAATGCCTTCGTGTAGAGAATCGGGTCGGGGTTCGCCTGAGCCACGGCGATTAACATCGCTCGTTCCTCCATTTGGACGGGGAGAAACGAACGGGAAAACAAAACAAAGACACTTCAAAAAACGAAAAATAAACACGGGTAGAAGGGGTGCCGCTTATTGTCACTTTTGGGTCTGGAATTCTGTCACGGTCGGTGGTAGTGTGAGGAGCGCGGAACGAGGAGACTAGGAGTACTAAACAAAGGGATTTATTCTTGTCACAGGGAATCACACGTAGCACGAGGAGAAGACGTCAACATACAATTCCAGACCAGGGAGAACTGAAAGGGCTAGAACTAAATAGGGTAGATAACGAGGGGCAGACAGGTGATGGGGATAACTAATAACAAGGAACAGGTGATACTAATAATGTGAAAAGGAACTGGAAGGACCAAATAAGGAAAACAGGAACTCAACGGGAACATACACGTGACAACTACACAGTTCTCAGATAAAATAAAGGGCAATTTATTATTATTATTATTTATCAGCAACTGGACTTATTATTAATGTTAAATTAAGTAATTATTGAATTTATAATAAGTTTTTTTCTTCTTTAGTTTTATTCTTCTACAGAGGACTTGGGTTTGCACAGCCTTAACAGTTTCTGTTGGCAGCAAAGCATTGGCAGAACTTAGTCAGAACTAAGTCATTGCCAAATTGTACAAATCTTACACATGTCCAAATAATCACGTTTTTGGAATATGGAGTGCATTACAGTTATTTGCTAAAATAAAGGACATTATTTTTATTTATTTTTATTTTTATTAAGAGCAACAACAATTATTATTTAAATATTAAGTTAAATCTTATTTCTTATTGATATTAATAAAAATGAAGTTTTAATCTTTTGCAGAGGATTTGAGTTTGCACACCATTAACAGATTCTATTGGCAGCAAAGCATTGGCTAATACTGACTTTGGATACAGAAGTCATTGCTTGCTAGTTTGTAGTTTGCACACCTTGCTGAAAATGAGAACTGCTGTTTCAATGTGATTTTATGCCTTTTTGTTCTTTCAGCTAGGATATCTAAGCAGCATGAGATGTAAAATCTTTCTCATATTGCAGTAAAAATTGCTATGTCAAATATTTCCAATTTGTACTTAATCATATATCAGATTTGATATTGTCATTTAGATTTGATCTGTTTCAAATATTGGTGAAAAAAAAGATAATTGATTGACAGTGTAAATGCTGTTGAAATGTCTGTGTGCAGGGGACAATGAACGCCCAGCCTCTCTCTCGCTTTCTCAAGGATCTTTCTGCTTCTCTCTCTCTGAAGGATGTCTTTATTTATCTCTCTCTCAAGGATCTTTCTCCCTCTCTCATGGCTTTGAGATGATAATGTGCACGTTTGCAAAGCAAAGTTTGATCTTCCGTTTTAAGTGCGTGAGAGAGTTTGATCTGTGCGTGTGTTTGATCTGTCATCTGTTTTGTATTGGTGTTCCTCTCTTTCCTTTCGGCAGTGTCTCATTCATATGCGCAGTGGACGACGTGCTAGTGAAGATTCAGTGTGAGGGAAAACATCAAGGGAAAGCGGCGGCGTGTGTGTTTTGTGTTGGTCAAGAGTGTGCACGCGCATGGTGGCATTATTCTGTCAGATGCTTGTGAAATTTTCAATGTGCCAAAACACCAGCATCATCAGAATTAAATACTACTCACCCCTCTGTCCTCATGCAGAAGCGTGCGTGTGTGTGTGTGTGTGTGTGTGTGTGTGTGTGTGTGTAAGGGCTGTTTACTCACTTGCGCACTCAGGCAGAGGGGTGTGTGTGTGTGTGTGTGTGTGTGTGTGTGTGTGTGTGTGCGATAGAATATGGTTAGACTTCCTGCACTGTACAGCACCTAGAGAGAGAAAGATAAGAGAGACAGAAAGACAGCGATTGTCTACCAGGTCCAGTGAGCAGACACAGACATGGACTCAGAGAACACTGATGCTGGTAGGTCTGATCCACGTGTATTTGTGCTTGTTTTTTTTTGTTGTTCTTTTGTCCTTGATTGCTTGATTTCAGGTAATTTTACAGCATATGTAATATATCGAAACATTAAAATATACAGCCTGAATATCTTCAATGGCAAAATATTAGGTGAAAAAGCTTTGATTAGAATGAACAGTTGGCCAGTATATCGGCAAGGCCAATATTTGTCTGTTTTGGCTGATTAATAGAAGTGGTAGTTCTCCCTTGTGCCAAAGATGTCCGACTGAATGTGTGTGATTGTAGTGATTCAAAGTAGATGAATTTAATGTAAATTTATTTAAATCAAATTAAGTTTAAATATAATTTGAAGCTCACTAACAACACACTGTCAGCATGCAAATTAAAATATTGATATATTTTTACAAAAATGTAAAAAAAAATTGAAAAACTAGTTAACCTCAGTAATTGACTAGTTGGTCATTAGAATTAAAACAATGACATTAATTAAAAAGCTCCTTTCCCATTATGTAAACTGTACTTAAAAAAATATATATAAAATTAATAGCCAATAAGTAAATAAATAGCTGAAACCATGGTCCTTGGTGATTCATAAAATGCAAGTCAAGGGCTACCGTCACTGTGAGAGTAAAAAGAAAGCTGATCAGGCAACACATAATATCCATGACACCTGATATATTGAGGTCTTACGAAGTGAAACGATCAGTCTGTGCAAAAAACATTATTATCTGTAACCCTATAGCCTCGGGCAAATAGGGAAGTCTGATTCCTTTCTGCGATCTGGTTCTTTCGGATGATAAAGTTTCAGTCTTGTTCTCGGGTGAGAAATTAAACCAGTTGTAGTAAAGTTATTTGGCAACGAGCAGCCTCTAGCTATTTCACCAGAACAGAATTTTACACATTGCTACTTGAATGAATGAATGAATGAATGAGAGATTTATATAGCGCTTTATTGTGTATTGCTGTACACCCAAAGCGCTTTACAGTCATATACTAGGGGTCTCTCCTCACCCACCACCAGTGTGCAGCATCCACCTGTATGATTTAGCATGATTTTTGCTCATGGTGAAGTATGTAAATGCTGCTGACATCATATCTGTTGCAGTGTATCGAGATTGTGTGCATGAAATAGACACTTCAGTTCAATTAAAGTTTATTTGTATAGCGTTTTTACGATACAAATCGTTTAGTAGTAGCTTATCAGTGGTGACTGTCAGTTTATGTACATATGGCAGAAATGTATGGAAAAATCCATTAAAGACGTAATCAAACAGACACTGATGCAGTCCAAATGCTAAGAAGCACTAATTAAATGTCACTGTTTTGGTCAATGATTTCAATTCATCACTGTATTTGGAGCTTATCTGGTGGAACCAGATGGAAGAACTCAGGCAGCAGAATCCAAACTATTTCAGCTGAAACCGATTTTTCCTTGTTTTTTTTTTTTTGCTTTTTGCTGTTTTCAGGTTGATAAAATTTCGGTGCATCACTATTATTAAGTTATCAAAAAATAGCAGTGTTTTTTTTCCCTTGCCATTATTTATTTTATTATTATTAAAAAACGCTTTCACGTATCAGATGTTTTATCCCATCTATTTTATTATTTTATTCTATTATTTACATTCACTTACAGGGATAGTTCACCCCCCAAAAATCGATCATTTATTTACTTACCCTCGTGTCATGATAAATGTGAACTTTCTTTCTACTGTGAAACATAAAAGGTTTGGAATGTCAGTTTAGGGTGATTAAATGATGATCAAATGTATTTTTTGGATGAAATATGACTTTAACATAAAACAGACCATGTTTACATTAATATTTCTCCAGGACAAGCATTTTGACCATTCATGCACAGCCATGCCATGTGTCAACTTTAGCATTATATTGACTCCTGATCTTTAAATATTGGCTTCAACCACTGAAAAGCCATATTGGTCGATTACTAATTAGAACTATGAAGAACATGGAACAAGAGAGAAAAACAGAGAGATTATGAGTTTGAAACAGCATATTTACATACTGCCAGAGTAAATTCCATGCACACTTCATGCTGTTTTCATAACCTCAGTCATATTTTTTAAAAGCTAGAAGTTTGGAGACATTTGCGTTGCATTATGGGAAATAGTAACTGAGCTAATGATCTCATAAGCGCACAGCAAATGTGCAGACGATGCAAATCGCGTAAATGGTTGAATTTCTCTCAAATGTAAAACCGGTCAGATGGTTAGAAGAGATAAGAGGTTTTCCGTTTCTTTCGCTCTCTCCTCCATTCCTTTTTTTTGCTCCGTATTGACTAGCTCATGCATATCTGCCCTCCACTCCATCGACCCATGCAGGTAAATTTAGCACAGCGTGTGTATCGGTGTGTTTTTGGGAGAGTGTATTTGTATAGACTTTACCTTTCTGTCAGATGGCAAAGGATTATGGGTTTTTACATCATAGACTTTGGTCTTCAGCTTCAAATATGAACAGAAAGCCAGGTATATACACACTAAAGCAAACACACAGAGGAGAAAGGTCAGAGGTTAAACTCTAAAGTGGAACCTTCTAGTTTAGAATCAGATTAAAACAAGAGTAGGTCGATTGTAGTCTTAGACAAACAAGATTTTACATTGGCTGTGTCTGTAACCAAAGGCATCTGTCCAATCAGTGATGTTTTTCTATGAAGGAAACCAATTTCAGACCAACCCGTCTAATAATCTATATAGAACAAATTCAAGTGAGCTTTGCAAGCAAATATTTGACTACATTGCTTATTTCTCAGTAGAAAGTTGAATAAATATAAATATAAATGTTTTTTTTTTAGCTTTCGTTTTTTGATTAGATTACTACCCACAGGTTGTTTTGTGTTTATGTCATGTGCACACAAAGGTCTTAAAGTTCTGCCTTCATTATTATGCATCATGGTCTGTCTCTCTGTCTCTTTCTCTCGGGCTCTGCTCTCGCTCTTCAAACTCTTAAGCTATTTCAGGTCCTCATAAGGTTAAGAGGATTTTCTCTGCAAGCACTGAATCAATCTCTTCATTTCCCCAGATGCTCTCGTGTTGGCAGTAATGGGGATTCAGCAGGCACCAGTGGGAAGCAGGATTTGCACCCAGCTCTGGGGTGGCCCGCACTGGGTGAGCGCCCCCTGGTGGCTGTGGCTGCTTCTTCTCTGTTATGAAATAGCTTTCCTCATGGAAATGTAGATGAAGAAGATAACAAAAACTTGATGATTTTGTTTTCAGAATGCCCTTGACATTAGTATTATTTATGTATATTGTCTCTTATTTGTGATTGACCGTTTTAGCCTGGGCTTGTTAACTTGTTTTGTGTTTTTTGAAAAGAAAAAGAAAAAAAGTGAAATCAAATTTGGAATTGGCGTTCAGTTGGCTGAATTGTCACTTGCCCTTTTTAGATCATACTGCTCTGTTGATTGTGTTTATGTGTCATTTATGCCTTTCAAACTTAAATATTTGGTTCTCTATGATGAATAGAAAGTGTTTGTTGTGAATTCTGCGGATTTGTCACCAAATAACATTATCTAGCCAGCTCACCTGAAATTTTGTAAATGAGTTTTGATATTTAGTCTTTTGATAGTATTGTAAACAAATGAAGTCATGTTGTAAGTTATTCCGTCAATTTCCAGAATCGTTTCTGAATTTAAAGCTGACATAGAGACACATTATAACACATTATAATAATAATTTATACAGCATATTTATAATTTATTTAATTTCCATCTATTATTGCACATTTAAAAAAACGTAATATTCTAATATTGTTTTTAATATAATATAATCCAATATAAGGTTCCTGTTAATTTTTAAATAATGAGTATTTTTTATTTTTTTATGTAAAAAAAAAAAGTAAAACATGAACGGAAAACATGATAATATATCTATATTCTCAAAGAACATAGGCTATATTGAAGAGTTCATTTGCAAAAAACGATAACTCTATTTTAATTTTTTTTTCAGAAATCAAACTTTTTTATTGCGGATTCCAAGTAATATCAATCAAACTGCAGTTGGGTTGTTTTGATTAAGTAATAATAACTTAAACAAATACAGGTAATTTACAAAATTAAAGTTCATTGAAAGTATGTTTTTTTTTACATATTAAAAGTTTGTTTTATAGCAAAAGCAGATAACTCCAACAGTCGTTTTTTTTTTTTTTGGCAAAAGCAGATAACTTCATGTTTTAGAGTTTAAAAAAACACTTGTTTAATCTTTGTAATCCTGTTGTTGTTTTGATCATAAACTGTATGGATGTGATTACAAGCAATACACGGAGCTTTTCCCTCACCTTTGTAACGCGCTGTTTTGCAAAGTTCCCTGAAAACGTTTCAGCTTTTACCGGTATTTTCCTTTTTCGCCCTGAAGAAGATATCACAGGTTCATCAAGTTTGTCAAAATAATCCAACCTCGATCACTTGTAGTCAGCTTTGACGAAACTCCTCTCAGCTAGCACGTCTTCTTTGACTGCGTTTACACTTGGCATTAACATGCGATCACCGTGATCTGATCAAGCAGATCGGATCATCAGTCAATCAGGACACGGCGCGTTTACACTTGGTAACATCAGGATGGTGGAAAATTAAGAAATTTAGGAATTGGATTGTTCATAATATGTTGCTGTTGTTATTGTGTGTGGTTGTTGTGTACTACTGCAGCTTTTGAGTCCAAGACAAATTTTCTGTAAAGGACAACTTAAGTTAAGTTAACTTAACTTAACTTAACTTAGTGTGAAAATGGGAGAAAATGTAGAGAATGTATTTAATCACTTCAGCTCCTTTACTGAACACCATTATTACATAATTGAAGACTTCACGCTGTTATTGGGTGGATCAAATTAAAATATGCTTTTTAATGCATCTGATGGAGTTGACAAATTAAGTTATGAAGTGAATAAATGTAAATTTTTAGGAAAAAAAAAACATTTTCAAAAAAACCTGTTCCCTTACATGGTTCATTAGCTTAGACCTTTCTCTACAGATATATCAATTTACAAATAATGTATCAAGCGTTAAGATTATTGTTAAAAATTAGCATTTTTTTTTTTTTTTCTTTATTATTCCTTTATTATTATTTTTTAAGATTATTCTTTCAGAGTCCTGGTCTCGTTTCTCTCTGTCACCTCACAGACGTAACTTCCAATAATCATCTGTAATTGGTTGGCTCTCCTGCCAGTCCCATTATAGGGCGAGTCCTCGTGCAGGTATTCGGTTCAGGTGTGTCTGAGTCTCAGACCAGGGTTGAAGCATTAGGCAGAAAGGTCACTGTTCTGGCCAGGTTTGAGGTTCTGGGGGTCTAAAGGAATTAACAAAGGTCAGAGGTCATGTTGAGGAGGTATAGGCAGGTGCCGCACTCAGAAGCTGACGGGACCTTCAGATACAGACACACCTGGGAGAGGAGATCTTTCCTTAGCAGACTTGGTATCTATGTGTGTATGTTTGTGTGCGATCATGATGATTAATACAAACCTGTTGCACACCCTTTGTTAGTAAGATTGTTGATGCATTTGTCACTTTGCAGTAGAGCTCTGCTCGCTCACCCGCTCTCTTTCACTATTCTATTTATTTCTCTCCCTCGCAACATCTCTCGCTTTTTCCATCTTTCTGAAGTTGGATCAGGTGTTTGAGCTGATAATGGCGGCTCCTTTTCCACATCTCACTTTACAGTCCCTGCAGACACACACAAACACACACACACACACACACACACTCTGATGGCATATACACATGCATGCACATGCAGTCCAGATTTATTATCCATGCTGGAATGGATGAATGAACAATTTCAGCTCTAGCTGGTGAAGGGCTGTCAGAGCAGCGTGTTTGTGTGTGTTGAAAATGAGGAGTGTGCGTGTGTTTGTGTGTGTACTGGCTGCTTTGCTGCTCTCAGATTTCTTCTTTGACCTTTTTTAATAATTAATCAGCCCTTCAAACTGTGTGGCATCGCACACACTGACACACACACACACACACACACACACACTGTAGTTTGCATTGTGCCTTTAATCAGTGCACTTACACATTACATCCTGACAGCTAATTTTAATATCATGCATATGTAGATTCTGAAGTTCTTATTGGCTTGAGTGGGTGAAGTCTGAATGTATGTGTCAGACTGCTTATTTTGCATATCTGTCCTATCTCATTAGGGCCATTCTTGCGTTCAGAAACCGTTAGATGGTACCTTAGATCTGTTTATTTCATTAAATGCACAAATTCAAACTCATTACAATCATTTGTGTTCATGCAGACTGAACAGAAAACAAAGTTTGTATATATATATATATATATATATATATATATATATCTATGGTGGAGACAGCATCAATGATTATGAGTTCCATAGTATTTTGTCGCGCCGTGCCACTCGCATCCGGTGTAGACACGGTGTAACATTGGTTTTGCTTTGTTTCACAGAACTAATCA